TGGAGGAGGCTCGAGCCGGGCAGGACCAGGCCGCCGATCCCGCTGCACCTGCTCGCGCTGCTGTGGCTCGAGATGATCCACATGGGGTCTCCTCTCATTGCTCTGGCGTTGGTCACGATGTGGGTCGCATACCTGCGGCCAGGGGAGGCCATGAGGTTGAAGGAGAAGGCCCGAGTCTCCCCGCCGCGCACTTCTGCTGCGGCCCTGTGGAGCCTGCACATGCACGAGGAGCTGGATCAGCACCCTTCCAAGGTCAACCTCTTCGAGGAGAGCCTGGTGCTGGACTCGGCCGACCTCCCATGGCTGGGAGACCTGCTGGCAGGACTCAGGAAGGGGCAACCAGACAGGCTGTTCTTCGAGTTCAAGTACCCGCTCCTCGGCCAGGCCATGGTGGGAGCGGCCAAGAAGGTCGGTCTGGAGAAGCTCAAGATCACCGCTTATCACATGAGGCACTCCGGCCCCAGCCACGACATCCTGTTCAAGAGAAGGTCATTGGCAAGCGTCAAGGCAAGGGGTCGGTGGCTCTCCGATCGCACGGTGAGGAGGTACGAAGCCCACGGGCGCCTCCTCCAACAGCAGGCAAAGGTCTCGGACGACACGAACAAGAAAGGTGCCCTGGCTTTAGACAAATTGAAGGACGCATTCCACACCTCTTTGTTCCCACGGGCCGCCGCCTCGTCCAGGTGTGCCGGGCCGTCGAGGTCTTCTCAGGCTGTGGGAGGCTCTCGCAAGCTCTCGCCTGCGCTGGTGTCCCAGCAGAGGCCTGGGACATCGAGCAATGCGAGGCGGCTGATTTTTCGAGGATTGAGTCTTTACGCAAGCTGGAAAAAGAGATTGTGGACCGTGTCATCCGTTTCGTCTGGTTCGGTCTTCCTTGTCAGACATGGTCCAGAGCCAGGCGCTGGGACGGGCGAGGGCCAGGCCCGCTTAGAGACGATGATACTCACCTGTACGGGCTGCCTGATCTCTCGCCCGGTGATGCAGGCAAAGTGCGTTTGCATAATTTTCTTTTGAGGCAAATGGCTAGAATTTTTAAGCTGGCAGCGGAGTGTGGCTGCCCTTGTGCCCTTGAGAATCCAGCCACGAGCCGCGTCTGGCTCACCAAAGAAGTCAGGTCGTTGTCGCTCCTGCCAACGGCTAACATGCAGGTAACAGACTTTTGCCAATTTGGGATGCCTTGGAAGAAGGCCACCAAAATCCTTTTTGTGAACTGGCCACCGCTTGCTCTGCCGCGGTGCCGACCCTCCAAGTCCGTCTGCTCGTGCTCTGGCCTCTCGCACACGATACTGGAGGGAAAAGACGCCAAAGGAGTTTGGCGCACGGCCATGGCGCAGCCGTATCCTCACGAGCTCTGCTCACTGCTGGCCAATATCGTTGCCCCAGCTCTATAGTTGCGCGGTCGCAAGGCACGGCTGCGCTTGCATCTGGGGTTTTGGAGTTTGAAGTCTCAGTGGCTTGTGCTCGCCTGCATCTTTGCAAGAGTCCAATTATCTCGCACAAGCCTGCAAATGCACCTCTCAGTTGATGTGGCAATGTCAAACTGCATCGGTCTCATCTCCAGAGCTTGCTCCCAGTTGAGTCCGCATTCTATATTGCTCTGTAGTGTAGCCTTTTTGGTTCTAGTCTCCCTCCCTTCCCTCCCGAGTTTGAAGTCTCAGTGGCTTGTGCTCGCCTGCATCTTTGCAAGAGTCCAATTATCTCGCACAAGCCTGCAAATTCACCTCTCAGTTGATGTGGCAATGTCAAAATGCATCGGTCTCAATATAATAGTCCCACGATGAACCAGGAGTCCGTCCGTCCGATTCTGCGCGTCGTTTCCATCGAACTTGTAAATCCTGGAGCACGGCATCATGAAACACATTAGGCAACGGGGGTCTGGAGGGGCATCCCTCGCGAAGGAGGAGGAGGAGCAGGACGTCGTTTTTTCCGCTGCACCCCCAAAGGCTGAGTGTACGTGACAAGGCAGAGTCAGTTGGCTTCGGGGACTGCCAACCTCTGATGTGGCTTCGCTTGCTGAGCGCGTTGGGCCGAACCGATTATAGATACGATTACAGGCTGGCCCCGGTCACCCCCAGGGGCGCGAAGATAACCGCGCGTCGAGCATCGCGGGGCGCGATTCGCGACGTCAGGTGACCTCGTGGTTCACACGCCATCTCCAAAGCCTAGCTCGGCCCTGTCGGCCTTCAGAAGAATGACAGAGCCGCCGCTGCATCCAGCACGCTGGGCCGCAAATTCTGAGGCCGACGACGACGAGGACGCGAGCACAGAGGGGGAATGAACGACGACGACGACGAGGACGACGACGACGACGACGAGGACACGGGCGCGAGCACGAGAACAAGGCCCACGAGCACGAGTACACGAGTACACGAGCACGAGCAAACGAACACGAGCACGAGCCGCCGGCCCTGGCCAGGTGCCCTTGCCTCAGCTGGCGATGCTGGCGCGCCCGGCGGCGCGGCCCCCGCCCGGACGAGGCCAGCTGCGGCCGCGAGCCGCGCGCGCCGGCCACCGCCCGCGTGCCCGCTCGTGCGCGCGCGCGGAGGCGGGCGCCCGCGTGGTTCGGGGGCGGCGTGGACGGGATGGACCCGGGAGGGGGGGCGCGCGAGGTCGCCCGCAGAGGCGCGAAAATGATCGCTATGCTCGCGTCGCGGCCTGGGCTTGAGAGGCGCCCTTGCCGAGGTTGCGGCGCGATGGCGCGAAGATAAGCGCGCGTCGCGCATCGCGGGGCACGACGCGCGAAGTTAGGTGGCCTGGATGACACGCTCTCGTTAGAGAGCCATTCGTCAGCGTGTTACTCTTTCGTCCTTGTCCCAAGGCCTGGTGTTTGTTCAACAGTAGCACGCTGATGGCCTCCCCACATCGGCGTGTCATTGATATTGTTTTTGCCCGCACATCGCCGATAGCAGCCCTGATAGCCCTCCCTGTTCACGACCGTGCGGCTTCGCTATCGAGGGCACGTTGTCGATCTATCGGCGATGTATCGCTCATTCCAGGTCGATGTTTCCCCCCTCCACCACCCGTGAGACGGTCTCTTCCTAGCGTTCCCCCTCAGAGGTGGCACGTTCGATCGTCAGCAGAGATTCAAGGGTCGAGGCTCTCTTTTTGGGCTCCTTTGTCGCCACAGCTGGATTTGTTTCGACTTTTTGGTCAGATCGCACCCCTGGAGACCAGTGTGTCGCCCGCGGGGGCGCGAAGATGACCGCGATTCGCGTGCCGCTGCCCAGGCCAGAGAATGTGCCCTTCTCCAGGGCGGACGGAGATACCCGCGTACCGCGCATCGCTGGGCGTGGCGCGCGAAGACGGGCAGACCTAGGTGGGGGCGCCCGCATGCTGGCGCGCTCGATGACCGCCATGAAAAATCAGTGGCTCCTGACGGAAACGGGTCCAGAGGTTCTCCTCGCTTGCTACCCTTCTTTTGTGGACTGGGGCTATCATTGCTTCACCCCCACGGCTGTCTCCTCACCGAGGAGCTTTCGTGGATTGCCTGACCTGACCTGACTTGACCTGGCCTACCCCTCTCCTCCCCCTTCGCACTTTTAGGCTTCCAGCCCATCAAGGGACCCTGGGCGTGCCCGTCAGAACCAGGCGCCACCCAGAGGCGCTGGCACTGTGAGTTTTCCACGAGCCCCGACCAGGCACGTGCGTGGGGCACCCCCCCAGCGCTTCCCACCGTCCCGCACTACCTGCTCACCACTCCCGCAGGGACCATCCTTGCCCTCCACCTCCGCTTTCCGCCGTCCCACATTTCCCATTCCTCCACCACACACCCGCAGAGACCACCCTTGCCCTCCCTCCCCCCCCGCTTCCTGCCGTCCCGTACTCCCCCTCCTCCGCCTCGAGGTCGCTCTGTGGGGCCAGCGCCCGAGAGGGCTGCCTGCCCGCCGGACGGCGAGCGGGACATGAAGAAGGCACAGGCGGGCCGTCCTCCCGGCTCGCTCCTGGGCCTCCTCCGCCTCCTCCTCCTCCTCCTCCTCCTCCTCCTCCTCCTCCTCCTCCTCCTCTGTTCCTTTTCCTTGTGAATCACTCCTCCCTGTCGCACCCCGAGGCTAGTACGGAAGGGCGGGCCGGGCGTTTCGCTTGAGATTTCCTTGCGATTTGTGAGCTTCAGGACGAGACAATGGCAACAGTTTCACAGATGAAGGGCGGGTTGCTTCCAAAGTGTGGCTCTCGCCTTAGCTCCGCGCACACTCGTTTCAAACATTTGCATGAGGTTCACGGGTTGAGGGCGTTTGTTTCAACATGTGACTCTCGCTTTAGCGCCGCGCGCATTCATTTTAGAAATTTGCAAGAGTTTGACGGATTCTCATGGTTAGCGTCCCAGATACGGTGTTTTGGAACGATTAAGGGTTGTCAGGGCGCAACACTTGCGTTGATTCGCGGTATTAAGTTCCACGACTGTTTTTTTGGCACTGTTCAGGATCTTCAAAACGCAATAATCAGGTCGACTCTTGATGTTGAAGTCCTGAGAATGATGTTTTGGCGCTTTTCAGGATTTTCACGCGGGTTTCCGCGAACGGGGCACTTCCCCAGCGGAAATGCATCTTTGTAGCGGCCTACGAACAGGGAGCTTGGAGGGAGGGTGTATTCCAACATCGTTGATGAGTCTTTTGTTTACTCAGGTCCCCCTCCTCCTCCTCGTCCTCCTCCTCCTCCTCCTCTTCCTTCTCCTCCTATTGACCTGCCGATGGGCAGGTGGCGGACGGCTCGCAAACATCAGGTTCAATTAAGGGTGAAGAACTTGTGGATGACGCTCCGCCTCCTCCTTCTCCTCCTCCTCCTCGTCTTCCTTCTCGAAGACCGCACTGGGGGCGCCTCCTCCTCCTCCTCCTCCTCCTCATCACCATCATCACCATCATCATCATCATCATCATCATCATCATCGTCATCATCATCAGCATCATCATCAGCATCATCATCATCAGCATCATCATCATTTTCCTCCTTCGCCTCCCTCCGCGCTCTTGCGCTCCTCCGTGGTCGTCTCGCACACACACAAGACGCTCGCTCGACAAAACAATCGAGGCTTACAATGCCCCATTGGAACCTGGGCCTCAAGTGCCGCGCTGCGGTTTGAGGGGTCTTTCCCCTGCTTTAGGATTCCAGGGGCCTTGCTCTTCCAATCCGCGCCGGGACGGTTCGGACACGTCTTGGCGAGCTCCTTGACCTTAGGGCGTGCACGCGCTCCACAGCGTACATACCAGGTCGGGCCTCCCTTTCTGCCAGAGGTGGTGGGCGGGGTGCGCGCCAGCCACGACCCAGGGCGAGGTGCTCGCCAGCCAGGCACGGTAGCTGCACTAGCCGAGAGCGCGACGCTCGCCCCAGACCACAGACGCGACATTCCCCCCCCCCCCCCCCCAGCAGCCTGGAAAGCGATGTGTCCTCTATCGTCTGGGACGATCTCCAACATCGGGGCCTCCGAATTCCTAGACTCACGCTTCGTACGCCCAGATTACGCTGCAACAGCGGGACAACCCAGCTGATGGACATGCTCCACAACGCCGCCATACGTCTTGCAACGAGGGTACCTGATCATGGCGCAGCCGATCCCGAACATGAGCATTCATGGGATGGGCTCGTGCGTCCTTCTTTGCCAAAGAGTCAGCTTCCTGGTTGCCTCTGAACCAGGCTTGCACCTTCCTCCGCCTCCCCCCCGCTCCTCCCCCTCCAGCCTCTGTCCTTGCACCTCCCCCTCCCCTTTGTTGTTATCCCTCCTTCTCTTGGACGGGGAGAGGAGGGGCCGAGGCGGAGGAGGAGGAGGAGGAGGACGAGGATGAGGATGCTGCTGCTGCTGCTGATGATGATGTTGCTGATGATGATGACGATGATGATGCTGCTGCTGCTGATGATGAGGATGCTGCTGCTGATGATGACGATGATGATGCTGCTGCTGATGATGATAATGAGGATGAGGAGGATGATGCTGATGATGCTGATGATGATGATGATGATGAGAAAGAGCGTGTTCTACCGCTTCTGGCGGAAAACCGGGGGGGTCACTACCGGTTCGACCCCCCCCCCCGAAAACCGGGTGGGCTCACTACCGGTTCGAACCCCCCCCCCCGCCCCATCGAAAACCGAGGGGGGTGCGGACAGTGGTGGGGACGGTGGTGGTGGGGACAGTGGTGAGGGGACAGCGGGACAGTGGTGGGAACAGTGGGACAGTGGTGGGGACTGTAGTGGTGGGGACAGTGGTGAGGACAATGGTGGGAACAGTGGGGACAGTGGACAGTGGTGGGGACGGTGGTGGTGGGGACAGTGGTGTGGGGACAGTGGGAGGTGGAAACAGTGGGACAGTGGAGGGTACAGTGGTGGTGGGGACAGTGGTGAAGGCGGTGACGAGGACGGCGGTGGGACAATGGGACAGAGGTACAGTGGGGACAGTGGCGGGGACAGTGGGGACAGTGGTGGGAACAGTGGGACAGCTCAGTGGGGCAGCGGAGGAGTCAGTGGGACAGTGGGGACAGTGGGGATAGTCGGGCAGTGGTTCCGTGGAGAAAGTGGGGAGAGTGGAACCGTGGTGGGAACAGTGGTGGGGACAGTGGGGACAGTGCGACAGTGGTGGGAGCACTGGTGGGGACAGTGGGGACGGTGGTGGAACCAGTGGGGACAGTGGTGGTGAGGACAGTGGTGCTGGGAACAACAGTGGAGGATGTGGCGCGGACGGTGGTAGGGACCAGGAGTCGTTTTCTGGCGGTGAGTGGTGAGTGGGGGGGTGGGGAGGGGTTCGAACCTGTAGTGACCCCCCCTCTGGTTTTCGAGGGGGCGGGGGGGGTTTGTGGGGGAGGGTTCGAAACGGTTAGTTGGTAGGACCCCCCCGGAAACGAGGGAGAAGGGGCGGGGGTCGGGCGGGGGGGGAGGGGTAGGGTGGGGTGGGGGTTTTGCCGGGGGAGGGGAGGGAGGGGGGGGGTCCGCAGGGGGGGGCGGGGATTTTCGGATTTGGGGGTTTGGACCCTCTGGGTTCCAAGAGAGGAAGCAGGGCAAAATTTTCCACAGTAAAGTGCGGTGGATCACGCTCTCTCGATGATGATTGACGATGATGCTGATGACGATGATTGGGATGGTGGTAGGTGGTCGTGGTATTGTTGATGAGGAGGATGGGGGGGGAAATGGGAGGAAGAACAGAGCAAACCCGAGACACATGAACGATGCTAAGATGCTTGCTTGCAATTTTGCCTTCCGTCCCAAGCTTCTTCGCAATTAGTTCATACATTATTCTAAGTCAGCGGAGTGGCTCGCTTGATATTAACGAGCAACCAAATGGAACCGCAGTTAGGCGGTTTTCTAGAGGTTTTGATATAGGCGTAGTTATGAAAGAAACGGCCCCCTTTTTTCTTTTTTTTTTTTTTTTTTTTTTTCTTTCTTTATATTTTTTTTTCTTTTTTTTTTTTTTTTTTTTTGTTTTTTTCTTTTTATTTTTCGTTTTTGTTGTTTTTTTTTTTTTGTCTTTTTTTCCAGTACATTCGTGCTATAAGGGAAGGGACGACAGTTGGGGGTCATAGAGTTCAATTGAGCACGCCCCGCATGGCAGCCCCGCTTTGAACATGAAAGTGCCTTGCATCGGGGGGGGCGACGGGTGTCGGGGGTGCACGGGGGAGAGGCTGCTCATCAGATCTCTCTCTGATGTAGAAAGGCGGGTAGGGGAGGGCAGAGGAGGTGGAGGACGATGGTGAGGGTGAGGGTGACGGGCGAGGATCACATGGAACAGGGAGCGTGGGCGAGTACAGGGGCATGATGCACTGCCTTTCTTCCGTCTCAAGCGCGCTTGTGTTCCTTCCCAGGATTTGCTGCCTTTGGCCCTGTCCGTCTTCACCCTGGCAGCTATTTACTTTGTGGGTATCTCCTGGCACGAGCAATCGGCCGCTGCATGTCGAGAGTAACAGAGATCCAGTTGGCACGAGTCGCCCTGAAGGTGGATCGAGACACGGAGGATGCATTTGTGCATGTTTCGTATGGTATGACATGCATGGAGTGTGATTTCAGCTGGCACCATCATGCGCTGTGTCGATGCCGATTCGATTGATATGTGCGAGCCCCTGCCACTACTGCCCCTGCCTGACCATCTGCTGCATCAGCCGCTCTCTCACCTCCCTGCGCTCTGAGATGGGTGCAGGCGCTGTTCGCGAGCCTGATAGCACCTGCGGCAGATGCTCCTACGCCCTCACGGCGGTCCCGTGGGTGTCCGCCCCGCCGCCGCCGCCGCTGCTGCGCTGCGGGCGGCGGCTGACATCAGAGGTGCAAGACACAGGTCGGTTCGGGTCGTTGCGTGCTGCCAGAACCTCAGCAACGGAGGACAAGGCGTCAACGAGGAGAAGCAGAAGGAGGAGGAGGAAGAGGAGGAGGATGAAGAGGAGAATGAGGAGGAGAAGGATGAGGAGAAGGAGGAGAAGGAGGAGGAGGAGGAGGAGCAGGAGGAGGAGGACGAGGAGGAGGAGGAGGACGAAGATGACGAGACGACGGCGTAATAGCGTTTACCTCCAGAAGTGTGCGATTTGATGCGGACTTTCGTTCATGGTTACACCCAGGCAACGGAGATTGCCCGATCGACCACCAACTGGGTGTCAGGTTTCAGGAAGTCTAGGGCCTCAGTTGGGAACCATTGCTTGAAGCGTGTGTGACCCCTACCGGTCTGTATGCCGGGAGGAGGGGGAGGGGGAGGATGAAGATGCGGAGAAGGAGGGGAGTGGGAGGAGGAATACGAGTCTTCAACAAGGCCGCCCAGAGAGGGTATGTGTTCCATCTACAGGACTCTGGAGAGGGGAATACAGCGCATCCCGCCGATTGGCAGCGCCTGTACCAAGCTGCGTGACATGAGCCTTCTCGGATGGGCGCATTCAGTGTATCAGAAGCTCATTACACTCTGTTAATGATCATGATGATGCTGATGATGATGATGAGGATGAGGATGCAGTTGAGGATGAGGATGATGATGCTGATGCTGATGCTGATACTGATGACGATGTTGATACTGATGGTGATGTTGTTGATAATACTGATAAAGGTGATACTCATTATGCTGCTGCTGATGATGATGATGGTGATGGTGATGGCGATGGTGACGATGACGATGCGGACGCTGATACTGCTGGTGATGATGCTAATGACGATGATGGTGATGACGATGCTGATGGTGGTGGTGGTGATGAGGATGAGGATGCGGATGAGGATGCGAATGAGGATGATGTTGATGATCTTGATGATGATGTTGATGCTGGTGATGACGATGCTGCTGATGATGACCATGCTGATGACGCTGATGATGATGATGATGATGACGATGGTGACGATGACAATGATGACGATGCTGATGATGACGATGATGATGCTGATGATGCTGATGATGCTGATCTTGCTGCTGCTGATGCTGATGCTGATGACGATGATGGGGATGATGGTGATGATGGTGATGGTGATGGTGATGATGGTGATGATGGTGATGATGGTGATGACGATGATACTGATGATGATGATGATGGTGATGATGATCATGCTTATGATGATGATGATGATGATGCTGATGATGATGACGGTGATGATGCTGATGATGATGATGATGATGTTGATGCTGATGCTGATGAGGATGAGGATGAGGATGAAGATCAGGATGAGGATGATGCTGAAGATGAGGATACTGATGATAGTGATGATGCTGATGACGACGACGACGACGATGATGATGATGATGATGATGATGATGATGATGGTGATGATGATGATGATGATGATGCTGGTGATAATCATCATGCTCATGATGCTGATGATGATGACGCTGATACTGATTATGATGTTGATGATGCTGATGATGCTGATAATGCTGATGAGGATGATGACGATGATGATGATGATGCTGATGATGATTATGCTGATGATGTTGATGATGATGATGATGCTGATGATGATGCCGACGACCATGATGATGATGGTGATGATGATTGCTGATGATGATGATGCTGATGATGATGATGATGATGATGATGATGATGATGATGATGAGATGATGAATGTGATGATGATGATGATGAGATGATGATGATGATGATGTGATGATGATGATGATGATGATGAGGATGATGAGATGATGATGATGATGATGATGATGATGATGATGTGATGATGATGATGATGATGATGATGATGATGATGATGATGATGATGATGATGATGATGATGATGATGATGATGATGATGATGATGCTGCTGCTGCTGCTGATGATGATGATGATGATGATGATGATGATGATGATGATGATGATGGGTGGTGGTGGTGGTGGTGATGATGATGATTATGAAAATACATAGGAGAGTGTTTACAGGAGGAAATGCAACAGGAGGAAGAGGAGGAAACATGACAGCAATAGGTGGAGTAGAACAGCAGGAGGAGGAGGAGGAGGAGGAGGAGGAGGAGGAGGAGGAGGGGAAGGAAGGGGGTAATGAGTCGATCAGCTGTACTCTTGCCGCCCCGTGTCTTCTCGCACCTCTGGCCATGTCGACCCTCTCGCCCAACTCCTGTAGTCCCACGTCCACCCTCCGCCCCATTCACCTCTCCCCCTTTCGCACCCTCCCCCCCTCTCATTCCGGACTGGAGCCCTGGGCGTCGCGAGAACAGAGAGCAGATGTCACGAACGTTTTTTGTTGCCGTGTTGCCCCCCTCCTTCCTTTGGTGTGGGCTTCTGGAGGCTTGCGGAAGCCTCTGGGGGCTTCGGGGGCCAGAGGTAAGTTTTGGCGGGAGGGGCGGGGGCAGGCCTTTGGAGGCCAGGCCTGCGCTAAGGAGATATCCGGGGGGCGTTCCACCCGCCGCAGGCAGTCGCAGGGCCGGCGGCGTCGCCGCTCCGCGCCAGACCCCGACCGGGTCGTCCCCGTCAACTCCGCGCCGAAGGCCCCGCTCACGGCGCGCGGCTGGGCTGCCGGGGCGCCGAAGGGCCAGGCGGGACTGCTTGTCTGTTTTATCTGACTACTGCGAAGGCCTCGCGGCCAGTGCCGCCGACCCTGAGGGGGGACGACGACGACGACGGCGATGACGACGACGACGCTGACGCTCTGGAGCCGAAAGCTTCTCCCACGGAGCGTTTTTCCTTCTCTGACTATTTCTAGTCTTCTTCTGTTGCTCCTGTGTCCTCAGTCTCCCTCAATAAGGCATCACTAAGGGGTACTTACTTGTTTTGTGAGCAACTGGTGTTAGCTAGGTCCGTTCAGTGAGGATTCCCTGGTCCTTGATCGGTTCCCTGGTCTTGTTCTTTGCCATCCTTCCTCGGGTTCACTGGCCTTGTTCCCCTGGTTCCCCGGTCTTGTTCCTCGCCCACCTGCCTCGGGTTCTTTGGTCCTGGTCATCCTCGGTTCCCCAGTCTTGTTCTTCGCCTATCTTCCTATACAACGGGAAGCAAAGCCACGCAACGCCAAGCAATGCCAAGCAATGCAAAGCAATGCCAAGCAATGCAAAGCAATACCAAGCAATATTAAGCAATGCCAAGCAATGCCAATAAATGCCCAAACATGCCCAGTAATGCCTAGCAACGTTAAGCACTACCAAGCAACGATTCCAATCAAGCAATACCACGTAAGACCAAGCAATACCAAGCAACGCCAAGCAATGCCAAGCAAAATCAAGCAATGCCAAGCAATGGCAAGCAATGGCAAGCAATTCCAAGTGATGGCCAGCAATGCCAAACATCGATTCCAGACAATGCGAAGCAATGCCAAGCAATGCCAAGCAGTGCCAAGCTATGCCAAGCAATGCCAAGCAATGCCACGAAATGCCAAGCAATTCCAAGCACTGCCAAGCAATGCCAGGCAGTGCCAAGCAATGCCAAGCAATACCAAGCAATGCCAAGCAACGCCAAACCACGCCACGAAATGCCCTTCAACGCCAAGGCAGTTCCAAGCGTTGCCAATCAATGCCAAGCAAGACCGATCAATGCGAAGCAAAGCCATGCAACGCCAGGCAATGCCAAGCAGTGCCCAGTAATGCCAAGTGATGCCACGCAACGTCAAGCAGCGACTCCAGACAATACCAAGCAATGCCGCGTAAGGCCATGCAATGCCAAGCAACTCCATGCGATACCAAGCAATGACAGGCTTTGCAAAGCTATGCCAAACAATGCAAAGCAACGCCAAGCAATGTCCTGAAAGAGATGCCAAGCAATGCCAAGGAATGCCAAGCAGTGCCAAGCAATGCCAGCCAATGCCAAGCAACGCCAGGCAATGCCAAGCAGCGCCCAGCAACGCCAAGCAAGCTATACCAAGCAATGCAAAACAACGCCAAGCAATGCCAAGCAATTCCAAGCGACGCCGAGCAATACCAAGCAATGCCCAGCAACGCCAAGCAACGCCAAGCAACGCCGAGCAACGCCCAGCAACACCAAGCAATGACCGAGTCTTGGCGCCAGGCCGGCGTGCGGGCTGTTATGGGTGAGCGTGGCTGTTCGTAGGAGACAGCCTTCGCGAGGTGGCCGACGCGAGCACGTCGATGGCGCCTGGACCCTCCAGTGTGAGGGTCCTACCCCGACGTTATTGTTGTGGCCCGTGCTCCCGTCTTCGGTTGCGCGCGAGCCTGGCTGCAGGTCCTGTTCCTCCTGCTCCTCCTGCGCCGCCAGAGCAGGCAGGGCACCCCAGGCTGTCCCCAGACACGAGTTCATTCTCAAAGGACATGCGTCGAAGAGGCCAGCGTATTTGACGAGACACACATCGGACGTCCAACGGGGCTTGCCTTGACCTTGGCTTCTTCTTGCGGTGCGATCCTCCGAGGTCGACTAATCCCGTTGCGCCGCCGACGCGCTGGCGACGCGACAGGGTCTTGAACCCGACTTTATCCATCCAGACGTCGCCGATGCGCCATCGATGCGGTTCGATCCTCCGACCTCATAAACTCCGGTCCCGTTTTTGGGGCTTCCATTTTTTTGCTACCCCCCTCCTCTCCTTCTGTTGGCTTTTCCAGCCGGAGGGTCCTGGCTGAAGGGAGGGCTTCGAGGCTACTCTACTTCTTTGGTTTTCGGCGCCCCGTTGACTTTCGACGTCTTCTTGGTTTTGGGCGTCTCTTTGGTTTTCGGTGCCTCCTTGGTTTCGGTGCCCCTTGGGCCTTTGGCGTCCCTCTGGGTTTCGGCGGTCCTTTAGTTGTCGGCGCTCCTTTGGTTTTCGGCGCTCCTGTGGTTTTCGGCGCTCCTTTTGCGTGCGACGCCCCTTTCGGTCTTCTGCGCACCCTTTGGTTTTCGGCGCATTGTTGGTTTTCGGCGCACTTTTGGGTTCCGGCGTCACATTGGTTTTCGGCGCCCTCGTGGTCTTCGGCGCCATTTTGATTGTCGGAGCCCCTTCAGTTTTCGGCGCCCATTTGGTTTTCGGCGCTCTTTGGTTTGCGTTGCTCCTTTGGTTTTGGGTGCCCTTCGGCTTTCGGTGCGCCTTGGGTTTTTGGCGTCCTTTGGTTTTCGATGCCCTTTTTGTTATCGGCGCGTCTTTGTTGTTTCGGTGCCCTTGTGGTTTTCGGCGCATCGTTGGATTTCGGCGCCCTTCTGGTTTTCGGCGCCTCTTTGGTTTTCGGCGCTCCTGCGGTTTTCGGCGCCTCCTAGTTTCTCGGCGTCCCTTTTGTTTTCGGCGCTCTGTCCGTCTTTGGAGCTTCCTTTATTTTCGGCGTCCTTCTTCGTTTTCGGCGCTTTTTGGTTATCGGCGCTCCTTTGGAATTTCGGTTTCGGCGTCCCTTGGGTGTTCGGTGCCCCTTTGGTTTTCGGCGCCTTGCCTTCTTGGTTTTCGCTGCCCCTTCGGTTTTCTGTGTCCTTTTGGTTTTCGGCGCCCTTTTGGTTTTCGGCGCCGTCTTGGTTTTCGGCACCCCTTTTTGTTTTCGGCGCTTTTTTGGTTTCCTTCCTCTTATGTTTTCTGCGCCCAATTGGTTTTCGGCGCAACTTTGCTTTTCGGTGCCCTTTCGGTTTTCGGTGCTTCTTTGGTTCTCGGCGCCATTTGGTTTTCGGCGCCCCTTTGGTTTTCGGCGCTCCTTTGGTTTTCGGCGCCGTCTTGGTTTTCGGTGCCCTTTTGGTTTTCGGCGTGCCTTTATCTACCGGCGCCGTTTTGGTTATCGTTTTTTTTGGTGTTTGGCGACGCTGACCCTTCGGTTGTCGGCGCCTTATTTCTTTTCGGCCCCCCTTTGTTTCAGGCGTTCTTTTCAAGTTCGGCGACCCTGTGGTTTTTGCCGCCCTTAGGTTTCGGTACTCCTGTGGTTTTCGGCGCCCTTTTGGTTTTCGGCGCTGCTCTGGTTCTCGACGCCCATTTTGGTTTTCGGCGCCTTATTGGTTTTCGGCGCCCCGCTGCTTTTCGGAGCCTTTTTTCGTTTTCGGTGCCTCTTGAGTTTTCGGCGTTCGTTAGTTTTTCATCTTTGGTTTTCAGCGTCCCTTTGCTTTTCGGCGCACTTTTGGTTTTTGGTGCTCCTTTGGTTTTCTGCTTCCTTTTGGTTGTCGGCGCTCCTTTTGGTTTTGACGCCGCTTTGGTGTTCGGCGCTCCTTTGGTTTTCGGCGCTTCTTTGGTTTTCGGCGCCCTTCTGATTTTCGGCGCACCTTCACTTTTCGGCGCCCTTTCGGTTTTCGACGTTCCTTCGGTCTTCGGCGCGCCTCTGGTTTTCGCACCCTTTCGGTTTTTGGTGGCTCTTAGGTTTTTGCGCTTTGTTGGTTTTCGGTGCCCTTTTGGTCTTCGGCGCTCCTTCCTTTAGCCAAAGGGGAGAGGGGGGGGTCTTCCAGCAGGGGGAATTCAAAGGGGGGGAGCTAAACCCCCATGTAAAAACAGGAGGGGGGGGGAGGGGGTCTTCCGGAAAGGGGGTTTCAAACGGAGGGGGGGTAGCTGAGCCCCCACCCCTTTGGACAGGGAGAGGGGGGGGGCGTAGCTTCCAGAGTGCGACAGGGGAAGGGGATAGTCTCTGAGGGGCGGGAGAAGAGGAGGGGGGGGGCTTCCGGCAGGGAAGGTCCAAGGGGGAGGTCCCCCCTCCCCCTTTCGGGATTGTGCCACGGGCGCGCTCTCTCATATCTAGGCGGTCTCATGGCGGGGGGCTATCAGCTACTATGGGTGGCCACACCCGCGGACTGGTTAGTACGACTGCCAGGAAAGCGGGTGTGGCCACGCTATGATAGGATACGACGTGACTTCCACACGAAAGCACGTGCTGTCAGACCGCAGGTTGGTGGTGGTGGTCGTCTTCGCCGTCGTCGCCGCCGCCGCCGCCGCCGCCGCCGCCGCCGTCGTCGTCGTCGTCCAGGTCCCTGGCGGCGAGCGCCCGCGAGAGCGGCCGCGGGAGCCGCCGGCGGGAGCCGAGCGGTCTCCCCGCGAGGCCACGCCGCTGCGGGCGCTGAACGGCAGCTTGCCGCAGTTTCCGGGCGTGTCCAGGCCGCTTGGTCCCTGCGCCCGCGGGACGGAGGAGCTCCAGGTCACCCGCAGGGGCGCCAAGGAAATCGCGCGTCGCGCATCGCGGTTTAGGTTGGACAGGGGCCCTTCTCCAGGGCGGCGTCGCGAGGGCGCGAAGATAGCCGCGCGCCGCGCATTGCGGGGTGCGATGCGCGAAGTTAGGTGACCTGGGTCCTTATGCACGCGGGGGCGGAGGAGCTGCTCCTCGTCGTCGCCCTTGTCCTCGTCGTCGCCCTCGTCTTTGTCCTCGTCCCCTTCTTCCTGCCTCATGCCACTTCGCTAGGAAAGCATCTATCCATCCATCCATCCATCCATCCATCCTTGGTTTTCCCTGCTCAACCTCCTCCACGTCCTCTTCCCCGTTCTCCTCCCGCACCGCTCGCCGTCGTCGCCGTCTCCTCCTACTCCTCTTTCCTATTCTCTCCCCCTTCCTCCTTCCCTCCCCTCCCTCCCCCCTTTCCTCCTCCCTCCTTCCCTCTAATCCCTCCCTTTCCTTCCTCCCTCCTTCCACTTCTTCCCTCCCTCCCTCTCTCTCTTCCCTCCAGACCACCAGGATAGGACCCCTCTCTCCTCTCCCAGCCCTCTATCTTTCGCAATTTTCTGAATATGTTTTGGGCTGCACAGTACATAGCACATTCCAGAGGCTTCGGCTTTCTCCACCTGGTCTTAGCTAGGCTGGGACGCCTGTCCGCATTGGTGGTCGCTCGCTCCTTCCCTCTCTCCCCTCCCCTCCCCGCCCCTTCCTCCCTGCCTTCCTCCCTACGGGCAACTATGCAAGCACAACGTGGATCGCACCGGCGACGACACCGACAGTGCCGAGTGACACAGCCATTTTTGGTCTCACCGCGAAGGGGTTCGACAACGCAGTTCTTCAGCTCAAGACGGGCAAGTGCAAGGACACCGCGGGGCTCACAGCAGAATTGTCCAAGTCCGGTGGCGCAACCATGCAACACCACCTACTGCAGCTCTACAACGGCATCATCAAACCACGGCAGATCCCGCCAGGCCAATGGAAACGGACCGTCATCTTTGTAATCTTGAAGGTGGGTGATCCAAAGCTCACACAGTAACATACCGATTATCACATTACCACAACTACCAGCTGCCTACCGCAAGTCCTGACACTGTGCCAGCCCAGCATTCTGGGCGGTGACTTTTTGAGGGCGTGGGAGGCCGTCGCGTGTGACACCTGGTGCCGCCAAGCTTGGGAGAGCCGTGATGATGAGATGGTGAGTAGGATGATCATTCAGACGATGTTGTATGATAATGTTGTTCCAGATTATGATGATGGCGATGATGATGATGCTGATACTGATGATGATGTTGATGATGATGCTGATGATGATGGTGATGCTGGTGATGATGATGAGGATGATGATGAAGATGAGGATGAGGATAATGATGATGATGACGATGATGATGGTGATGATGATGATGATTCTGGTGTTGGTGGTGGTGGTGGTGGGTGTGATGATGATGGTGGAGGAGCAGGAGTAGGAGGATAGAGACAGAGGTGGAGGAGAACAGGTGGAGGAGAAGGATGATGATGACGATGATGAGGAGGAGGCAGAGGAGGATAATCAGGATGATTATTATGATTTTGAGGATGAGGATGATGACGAAGAAAAATATGGTGATGATGTTAATGATGATACCGATGGTGATGTTGTTTATGATACTGATGAGGACGACGACGATACTTACGATGCTGATGATGATTATGATGAGAAAGATGATTCGGATGATAATCATGATGAGGATCATAATCATGATGACGATGATGATAATGATGTTGCTGATGATGATTGGAAGAAAAATACCGAGGCTATGATGATGTTGATGATCATGACGATCATGATGATGATGGTAATGATGATGCTGCTCATGATATTGACGTTGATGATGATGACGACGATGATGATGCTGATGATGCTGCTGATGATGAACAATGTGATGCTGATGCTGATGCTGATGATGATGATGCTGTCGATTATGATGATGCTGCTGATGATGATGATCATGGTGGTGGTGGTGGCGGTGGTGGTGGTGATCATGATGATGGTGATGACGATGCTGCTGCTGGTGATGATGCTGCTGCTGCTGATGATGATGATGATGATTAGGATGAGGATACAGATGATGATGATGATGATGATGATGATGATGATGATGATGATGAGGATGATGATGCTGCTGATGATGATGATGATGATCATGATGATGATGGTGATGAATGATGAAGATGATGATGGTGATGATGATGCTGCTGATGCTGATGACTATGATGATGATGGTGATGATGATGACGAGGATGATGAGGATTATGATAATGATGCTGGTGATGATGGTGATGAAAGATGAGGGTGATGACGGTGATGATGCTGATGCTGCTGATGCTGATGATGATGAGGATGATGGGCAAGATGCTGATGACGATGATGATGGTGATGACGATGATGATGCTGATGATGATGGGATAATAATCGTAGAGCATGAGTGTTGATGTGCACCGACAGTTTGGGGTGGGATCGTGGAATTTTCCTTGGAGCCTCGGAGCCCGCAGGGGCGTGCCAGCTTGTGGGGGGGCCTTTTCGCCGGTGGGCCACGTTCCCGGCCTGGCTCCCCTCGGCCCTCCAAAACGGGTGGGCTCGGTAGGTTTGGTTTTGGTTGCCCGTGAAGGCCCCCTGCCCTCGCGTGTGCTGCACGGCCTGCTCCGCAACCGTTTCATGTGGCTCCAATCTGGTACAGATTATCGCGAGGACTGGGCGCCCAGCCCACCTCGCAGCAGGGCGCGGCATGGCGCCCTGACGGGAGCAGCGGACTCCACCCGTGGAATCATAGATTGTGCGAGGCCGTGGCGCGCTGCCCAGGAGCAGCAGGCCGCGGCGAGCTGGTGTGCTGGACGCCGAGCGCCGCAGGCGCGACGACGCCAGGCAGGGCAGGATGGCAGTGTCGGCAGGAGCCAAGAAGGCGGGGACCGACGCGCTGCGGGCCGCTGGTGCTGACGTTACGGACGACGACGTCGCGAGCCTCGTCCTGAAGGTGAGGGCGACGCTGAACGCGGGGCGGGCCCCCCGTTCGAAGCTGGACGAGGCAAGACGACTGGAGGCAGCGCTGGACCCGGTGGCCATCCGCCTGGCGCTGGGGAGCCCGGAGGTCCCGGGCTCTGAGATGGCCGAGGCCCTCTGGGGGTTCACTGAGGCCGCCACGTACGCCACGCAGGCGGAGAGCCGGATCAGGAGAGTGGCGGCCGATACCGATGGCTGGGAGAGGATCGCGGATCGGATCTGGGCCCGTGCAGTCGGCGACGACGGCGGCACGCTGCCCACCGACTGGCTGCTGCACCTGGGCATAGGGCTCCTCCTGTCCAGCCTGGTGGTGGTGCTTGGGGCCGACTCCGGGCGGCACCGCCTGGCAGGCGCAGCTGTGGGGCTGTGTGGCACCGTCCTGCTAGTACGGCGCGTGCCCGAGCGTGTGGTTGCCTGGTGGGCACGCTGGAGGCGGCGCTCGGCCTTCGCCGCGGCGCTGAGGAGCGGCGGGGACGGCCTGGACCTGACCGCCGCCGAGGACGACTGCGCGGCCTGGGACGCGAAGGGGGCCCCGACGACCAAGGGGGGTGGCGCGGGGGCCACGGAGGTTCCTACTGGCCCGCTGCACCCCCCGGGGCTGGCAGCGCTGCCGCCGTCGCCGTGGGCCCCACCTGCCGAAGGCGTGGGCGGGGGCGCCCCGCCAGCAAAGCCCGGCGCGCAGGACCTGGCGGCGCTGCGGGCGTTCGGCCAGGGGTCCGAGGTGCCAGGCCCCTTCAGCCAGACGGCGGCCCTGCAGCAGCAGCAGCAGCAGCAGCCACAGCCGAGCCCAGAGGTAGGCGTGCCAACGTCGGGGCTCAGCTTCCACGCGCCCCATGCTCCTGCAGACGCGGTGAAGCTAGGGCGCGAGGTCCAGATGGTGGGCGCCACGCTGCGCGAGTTCCAGGCGCAGGCGGCCACGAACGTGTACTGGGCCTGGCACTTCTGGGAGAGAATCGCGGCGGTGGATGGCTCCATGGGGCTGCATCCTGACCTCCGTCGCGTGCTGCAGACCCACGGCTACGTGGGCGCAGGAACGAAGTCCCCGCCAGGTGGTTCGCTGCAGCAGGAGCTGGACGCGCTGCTCTCCTCCGCCACAGCGCCGCACGGCGGGGGCATGCACGCCTCCCCTGGGTGGGCCGTGGCCCCGGTGACCCAGCAGCAGCAGGAGGACAGCCGATGGAACCTCAGCCTCCCGCCGGACCTGCGGCGCGCGGCGCCGGAGATCTACCGCACCATGCGGGGCGCTGGGGCGGCTAGCGCTCGCGACTGGCTGTCGCAGGAAGTGACGGGCCAGCGACACACGGCAGTCTGGACCGACCTGTGGACTGCCGCCACCAACGTGGACTACTTGCTGGGCGGGTGCAGGACCCAGTCCGAGCTGCTCACCCGCCTGGCGTCCGACGATGCGCTGGAGCTGCACCTGAGGCGGTTGGCGAGCTACGTCTACGAGATGCGGACGAAGGACAAGGTGGGTGCGGCGGCCATGCTGGCCGTGCGCCCGCCCGGGTCGGCCGCCGACTTGGCTCCCACATGGCTGGTGACCGAGGCCACGACCCACAGCAAGGCTGAGCGCCAGCGTGACGAGAGGGTCCACGCCGCCAGCAAGCACGACAACCGAGGCGGCGGCCGTGGCGGTGGTCACGGAGGTGGAGCTGGCGGCGGCGCCGAAGCGGCGGGCGGCGGCAGAGGCAGAGGTGGCGATGGCGGGGGGCGCGGCCGCGGCCGAGGGGGTAAGCCCTCGGGCCGGGGCAAGCCTCAGGCTTGACAGCCACTGGCGGACCGAGGGGCTTGCGACCCCCCCTCGGTCCGAGAAGGTGCCCCGCGGCCGCGGGTGCAGCCTAGAATGCCAGTGATGGGTTTGCCTGGCTCGCTGACGCGGGCCCTGCAGTGGAAGGAGGCCGAGGCCAGGTCTTTCTTTCCAGTACCTCTACCTCATCGGCCACAGCAAGGAGCTTCCTCTTCCGGCAGGTTGAGGACGCGCTGGGCTCGGCGCATGCGTGTGTGGCGTCGGGCCTGTGGGCTCATCGAGCTCATGAACGGGATGGACCGCGGATCCCTGGGGGCGAGACCAGCGGGCCAGCGTGAGCCGAGCAACGACGACATGATGCTGGCCTGGCAGCTCGTGCAGCAGTATGCGTTACAGGACGCAGCGCGGTACGAGCGCGACTGCCGGGGGCTTGCCCCGACAGGCGGTCAAGGGACGGATCTTGCCTGCGACCGAGGACCGCAGGATGCCTACACAGGAGAGCGCAAGGGTGTGAGCAGGCATGTGATGATGTGCGCCGCGGCAGTTGCAGAACCCCCCGACGACGTGGTCGTGGACCTGCTGGAGGCGCTGCCTGACGGCGAGCGCCAGTACTACTCGGACGAGCTGAACGTTCTGGACTACAGCGGCAAGTCGGGGGTCCTCTTCGAGGAGCTGGAGGAGCGTTTCGCCTTCGTGGGGGGCTCGACGTCCGAGTACGCCCGCTACATGATGCGGGCCGATTTGCCGAAGGACATGTGGACGTTCGAGGACCCCAACGACGTCCAGGCATACTGCGGGTTCAGCTGTGTGCCCAAGAAGGACCCCACCAAGCAGCGGAAGGTCCTGATGATGTGTGCCAGCAACTACGTGTGGGCCGACCCCCACCAGCGCGGAGACCACGGGATGCACGGCGGAGCGGCCATCGCCTCCATGTGCGTCCCGACGGACGAGTGGGGCGTAGCAGCGTTCGACGAGGACAACGCCTTCACCCGCCTCCGCGTCCCCGCTTGGATGGCCAAGTGGCAGGCTTGCCCGCCGATCCGCGCCTGCTGGGTGTGGGGGAAACTCAGCCAGCGCTTGCGCGACTTGGTGGGGCCGACGGGCTGGATAGCCCCCTGCTACCACCGCCTGGCCATGGGCGGCTCGCACTCCGTGCACCTGCTCATGACGGTCAACATGGCGATCATCGGCAGGGCGCTGCTGGGCGTGGGCGCTCGCTTGGGGGCGCTCGCGGGCGCCGCGGAGCCCGCCGAAGGCGGGGCCAGCGGGGCGCCGCGCGCCTCGCCGCCCGAGGACGGGGGGCTGGAGGCGGACGACCTGGGGGATGCCGGACCTGAGGACGCTCAGCAGCATCGCTACGACGACGACTGGCTCGGGCAGCAGTCCAGCTGCCGTGCCGCGCCGCCTAGCCCGTCGGGCTACAGCGTGGCGGAGTGGCTAGAGGCGGTGAGGCGGGCGAAGCGGGACGACGAGCGTGTGATGGTGGTGATGCATCTCTTTGCTGGCCGTCGGCGGCGTGGCGACGTTCAGGAGGTGGTAGAGAGGCTGGCGATGGAGCGGAGCCTGAGGGTGCTCTTTCTTTCTGCCGATCTCCTTGACGACCCGCGGTGGGACCTGGCCAGCCCTCCCACCTTCTCCGCTTTGATGGAGCTGTGCGAAGGCGGCTGGGTGGACGTCGTGCTGGGAGGCCCGCCCTGTTCGACCTGGTCGCGGGCTCGCTACAATCGTCGCCGACCAGGGCCGCCGCCAGTGCGCTCGCGGCGGTGCCCCTGGGGGCTTCCAGGCCTCAGGGCCTGGGAGGCCGCTAGAGTAGCGGAAAGTAACACCCTGACGCTGAACTTGTTGGCGCTCTGCGAGGCGTGCGGCCAGAGTGGCGGCGCCTTCCTCATCGAGCACCCGGAGGACCCAGGGCAGGCGCCCTACCCATCCATTTGGAACACGACGGAGATGCAGGACTTCGAGACGAGGCGCTCGTCTCAGAGAGCGTGCCTGGACCAGTGCATGCTGGGCGGACGGACGAAGAAGCCCACATGCCTGAGCGGCACGCTGCAGGGACTGAAGGACCTGGATGAGCTGCGGTGTGACGGGTCCCATGCCCACGAGACGGCCGAGGGCAAGTTGGCCGACGGCACCTTCCGCACGAGCCCGCTGGCCCAGTACCCCGAGGGGATGTGCGAAGCGCTGGGCGCTTTGATTGTCCAGACCCTGGCCATCTTCGAGCAGACCGGTCTGGGCGGCGCCGGGTGGCGAAGGCCGCCGGAGGCCGACAGGTCGGTCACTGCCTGGAGCTCGCGGAGCACTACGGCACCAGCGGTGGCCGTGCGGAACGAGGACGTGCTTCGCGGCCGTGGGCTGGTGCTGGACGGGCCGCAGATGGCCTTCTACCTGCGCGTCGACGACGGGGTGGTGATGGCCGGTGGCAGCGGCTGTGGCCCACGGGCCACAGAGAAGATGCACCATCTCGCGGATGCCCTGGCCGAGGCCGGCTTCGTGGTCACCGACCGCACGGAGGCTAGCGACATGCAGAAGGTGCTGGGCTACGCGCCACAGGCGCGCCCAGCGCAGCTGCGCTTGCCCCCGAAGAGGGCGCGGGAGCTGGTGCGGCAGCTGGAGGAGATGGGCGCCACCCGCACCCTCCACACCGAGGAGCTGCGCTCGCTCTTGGGGGTGTGGATCTGGGGCGCCCTGCTTCGGAGGGAGCTGCTATGCATACCCAGCGCCGTCTTCAGGCTCCTGGAGAGGCACCCGCACCAGCGGGTGTGTACCTGGGCGACCGTCCGCAGGGAGCTGCGAGCTATGGCGCAGGTAGTCCCGTTGATGTACGCCGACCTGGGAGCCCCGCCAGCCCCCGTGTATTTCGCGGCGGACGCCATGGGCGCCAACGTGGAGGACGACGGCGGCTGGGGCATACTGGTGACCGACATGAGCGAGGACATCGCGAAGGACTTCATCGACACGGGCGGCAGCTTGGGCTACACCGTGGCGCGGCTGGACGGCGAGCTCACTGGACTGCGACGGCCCGAGCAGGTCATCCGACGGACGAAGCCCTTCAGCCTCCTGCCGGATCGCGTGTTCAAGCCCGACGAGGACTGGACGATCGTGGGCGCGGGGAGGTGGCGGACGGCCGACCACATCACGCTGGGCGAGGGGCGCTGCGTCGTGAAGATCAGTAGACTGGCGGCCGCCACTCCGGCCCTCCACCGCACCGTGCTGCCGATCCTGGAGGACAACCAGCCAGTCTCAGGCGCGGTATGCAAGGGCAGGTCCCCGGCGCACCATCTGAACCACCTGTTGCGTCAGAAGACCGCAGCAGGGTTAGCATCTCGCACAAAGATTTTGATTCCATGGGTGGAGACGCTCAGGCAGCCTGCTGATAAGATATCGAGGTGCCTGACTCGTGCTGAGCTCCGCGGCCTACCTCATGTCGGGGCCGAGGAAGCTGGACAGCACTTCTGTTGAGAAGGTTAAGCCGCACACCCTGGCGGCTTACAGGGCAGCGGCTATGAAGTTCGTGACCTACCTGGACGAGCACGGCTTCGTCCCCGACGGGCCCGAGCAGTGGGACGACCTGCTTGTCGAGTACAAGAACGACATGCAGATGACCAAGTGCAATTTCGAGTACGCCGTCGCGGCGGTGGAGTTTGTCTTCCCACGTCTGAGAAGGAGGCTGACGTGGTCCCACTCGGTGATCGATGCATGGCGAGTTTCGGCAGAGGTGAAGCATGCGCCGCCGCTCGGCCGCGCGCCTGCTAACCTGGCCGCTATCTACTTCTCCTGCTGGGGAGTACCGCGGCTGGGCGTAGGCCTGCTGCTGCAGGTGGATCGCGGCCTGCGCCCGTCGGAGATGCTTCAGCTGCGAGCAAAAGACATATCCTTGCCATCGTCTAGAGGGGGACCGGATTTGCAGCCAAATTGGGTCATCAACCTGGGGGCCAAGTCGGGCACAAAGGCCAAGAGAATGCAGTTCGCCATTATTTTGGAGAAGGGCGGAGTACTGGAGAACCTCCTACACCGAGTAGTCTTGGGAACGCCGCCCGAGGGGCTCCTCTTTCCCTATTCTCTCGTCGACTACAGGCTTCGGCTCAAGCAGTTTGAAGCAGCCTTGGGCCTCGACATACACTGGGCGCCTCACTCGGCGCGCGCAGGGTTCGCCAGCGATTCCGTGGCTCGTGGTGTCCCCTTCCAGGACATCAAGGAGGCAGGACGGTGGCTCACGGAGTCCAGCCTCCGCATCTACGTGGACGTTGTCACCGCCTCCAGGGTCCTGGCTCAGGCTGAGCAGCGAGGAATCGCACCGCTCATCCGCGAGGCGGCCGAGAAGCTGCCCAACTACTTCCCGGAGGGCATCTTCGGCGAGGGTCAGGGCATCCAGCATGCCGCCAGCGGGCTGGCGCAAGGGCCAGGACGGCTCCTGGGTGCTGCCTGCGGAGGGAGTCCCTCCAGCGCCGCTGGCGGGGGGCCGCCGGGTGGCCTCGCCAGCGCCCCGAGCGGCGCCAGCCCAGCCGCCTGCGCCAGCACTAGGCGCACTGGTGGATGGGCTGCTGGCGGGTCCGCAGCAGCCGGGGGATGCAGCAGCGGGCGCGGGCGCGGCCGAGGCCGAGGCGCCGGCGCCAGCGGCCCCTGGCGTGGCAGCACTGGGGCCCCCGCAGCCGCTGGTGGCGCAGCCGCTGGCAGCGGGCGCGGCCGCGGGGTCGAGACGCGCGCGCTGGAGCAAGTGGTCGCTGCTGCGCGCGGCCTGGCTCATCGCAAGGTGGTGCGGACGATCAACCTCGCGAGGAGTGACGTGGGCGGCGGTCGCCGCGATGCTGATCGGGTG